GATCTTAGGCTTGATGGTAGATAGGAGATTGACCTGGATTTCCCACCTTAGGTCACTTGGGATGTCATGTTTAAAAGCTGTAAACCTTCTGAGAGTCTTTATCTCACATGTCCTGGGGTGCTGACTGTAGGACCCTCTTAAGAATGTGCCATGCCATCGTGGGGTCAAAGCTGGCATATGGATGTAAGCTGTACTCTTCAGCTACATCAGCCAGGCCTAAAGGGGGATCTAAAGTTTAGATCCCCCCAATAACCAGTCGTCTGGTGGATACTGGAGTGCCACCACTGAATATGCATCAGCAGTCCCTAATGGCTCGCTGCTGGTACCGAGTACAGTGTCTCCCTAGATCTCCAACTCGGGAAGCCATATCTGATAGGTCCATGGACCATAGATTTACTCTTCACCCACACATTCCCCTATCCTTTGGCTTTCGTGTCTGGGAGCTGGTTAAATGAATATCACTTCCTCAACTTCTGGTCACCCCAGTGAAAGTGTCGACCGTGGCCCCATGGGACCTACCACAGGTGCACTTCTGTCTATACAGTGGTCCCTCGGTTAACGAGCACAATCCGTTGTACAGGTTGTACCTCTCTAGTCCGGCATTCTGTGGTCCGGAAACTCCCGTGGTCCGGAACGATTTTAGTTTGTCCAATAGGTAGATAGGCAGTTTTTTTATTTTTTTATTTTTTACTTATCTGAATTATTATTATTATTACAGGAGTATTAAATTTTTGCCCCTCAGGCCCCAATGTGGGTCAGTGACCTATGCCCGGGTGGGCTAATCCACTTAAAAAAAAAAGCCGCGGGAAATTAAGGTTTGTTTGCATCCGGCAGTTCGGCTGCTCTCTCTCTCTCTCTCTCCTTGTCTATACAGAGTACAACATTTAACCCTTCAATATATATGAGCAGTAAATAAGTGTTGCTTTCATATTCTCATGTAGAGTAATGACGATATATTTTCACATGTGCGCACTTACATACGAGCAGTCTCCCTTTTTTTTTACCATTAATGGTTAGCTACTTATATTGTTCCATTTATTAACATTAAATAACATTGCAGGTACTTCAAGCAACCATATTCATTTTTTACATTAATTTTACTACAGCTAAACTCAGGGTCTTATTTTCTTCAGTTTTATGTAGAACCAATCAGTCACTGGTTTGATAGCTTTAACATAAACAATGCCGGCAGCCGTCTCGTCTCCTCTAATATTCCACGTATTATTAATAAATTGTATTGTTAATTTTGCACCGCATTACATTGATTCAATAAACAAATTCAGAAACATTAATTAAAATATATATGAACAGTAAAAAGTATTTGCTTTCATATTCTATGTAAAGTATAATGATATATTTTTTCACTTGTCACGCGCTTACATATCTGATCTCTCTTTTCTTTACCATTATCGTTAGCTACTTTATTGTTCCATTTATTAACATTAAATAACATTACAAAAACATATATTAATTTTACTACAGCTACAACCAAGGTCTTATTTTCTTCAGTTTTATATGTAGAACCAGTCAGTCACTGGTTTTGTAATCAAGCAACAATGCTGTGTCATTTCTCGTGTTTTAATATTCTACGTATTATTAATGAATTGTATTGCTCATTTTGCACATAACATTAATTCAATAAAAAGACATTCAGTAATAAACAATAATGAATCTTTTGTACATAAGAGAAATGACCCTGTTTACGATTATGCACATCGTCTGCCGTTGGCGGGCCGTTCAAACCGGTCAAATTCAAGTTTCCGCCTTCAAAATTTTTATTTATTTATTTTTTGTGTGTTCAATAAAATACGTAAGAATTAAAAACCTGAAATTTGAAGCTACTATCGACATTTAACCCTTCAATATGTCTTCAAAGAGACCATGACGAGAGAAAGTTGGTGCTAGTGCTTCCAGGCATAGCACAAGTCACTATCTATCCAGGAAAAGTGAATTTCCATGGTCGGCAGTCAGGTCCCAAGGTTGCCGGACTAGAGATACAACCTGTAGTAGGTTACTCGTTAACGAAAAACTTGTTAACCAAAACCATTGTTTCAATGGGTTTTTGGGTAATGGTTCCAGCTCACCGAAATTGCCTAAATTCAACAAAAAATGGAAAAAAGTACACTTACTTTGAGGTGTGTATGTAGAAGGCTCCTGGATGATGATGATGATGATGGGAATTAGAATGGGTGGAGGAGAAGGGGAGAAGAGAAGGCATTGGGGTGGAAGAGAAGTCACCCCATGGCACCATTTTACCCGTAAAATTTTAGTTCTCTTGGTGTAATTCAAGATTATTTTCTTTAAATCAACACTGCACTGCATTATATATTGTCAATATGTAAAATAAATTTCAAAATGACCTATAATTTGTTTGCAAACACAGAAATAAAGCATTTAGTTGAAGAGAGTCTCAAGCAAGATGTTACTTCCTCTGAAAAGAAGAGAGACTGGTGCCTGTTTGGTGTGTTGACAGGCTGGATGGCGCGCATAAAACTAGTTTCCTTACCTTCAATATGTTCAATAATTGTTAAAATGACTAAAAAATTTAATATTAAACTTTTAAAATTATTGAATAGTATAAACTTCTTGATATTTACTAAAATGGTAAGGAATATATACCCTAGAACCGATTACTGTATTGGCGGACTAATACTACAGCTGGTGGACCGCCAAATGTAAAACACTGATGAGGTTGGCTCAAGAAGGCTCGTTATTCGAGGGATTGCTTGTTAACGAGTTAAGACTCTTATGGAGTAACTTCTTCACTGAAATCTCGTTAACCCGGTATTGTAGAGGACCACTGTACTTCACTGGGGGCAAGGCTGATGCTAATAAAGTGATGGCCAGGATGTACAGTATTTCCAGGAGCATGCAACTCGGCATAATGGCTCAGTACATGTTCGCCAGATGGCTCCAAATCTGACGACGGTGTAGGGTTTGGAGCCATCTTCCCTGATTTTAGCTGCAGTGGGGTACTTTCCATCTTTGCATCTATTTTTACTGCAGACCTCTCTTGCACACCTAGCCCTTAAAGAAATCAGCATGTATAAGGCTAGGAGTTTTACTATTTTTTTAGTAATTCCAGAGCAGCCCTGTCTTCTCTGGAATCTTTTAATCTCAGCCACCCTCTTGTTATAGATATTTTTGCTGGCTATTGGTCCTCTGTCGGCAGAGCCATTATGTGGATTTTGGTTGGGCTCCTGCCCATGTGTCTATACGAGGTAAGAAGAGGGCTGACTAGGTGGGCAGGTCTGCTGCCTCTCGTCATGCCCCTTTATGCTCCCTCTTACAGAGATTTCTTCCCTGCAGTCAGGTCAGCCATCTGGACCACCTGGCAGCTAAAATGGGACAATGTATCCGTTCCCAACAAGTTGCAAGAGGTTACAAAAATGATCTATCCGTAGGAATATGTTGGATGACCCTTCACATGAGACAGCCCTTATCCATCTACAGTACGTGTTGGACACCTCATCCACAGTTTCCTTATGGCCAAAGGACCACAGCCTTATTGTGATGATTGCTGGGTGCCACTGACTGTGAAACACTTGCTGATAAAGAGTCCCAGTCATGGGGACTTGAGGAGTCATTTTCTGGATGAGTGCTGGCAGGAGGATGGATCCTTCTCCATCTCAATGGTGCTCAGCAAGAGAAGTTCAGCACCTGATGGAGGCCTTTTAAGATTTTTAATTACAATAAAGGTACTTATCATATTATACGGCATATAAGACGTACTTTTTTGTCTGAATAAAGGCTAAAAAAATCAACCTGCATCCTATATGTTAAGTTGAGGTCTCCTGTAAGCTAATGAATCCCCAGATTACTGTGTCCAGTAAGCTAAATTCTACCTAACCCAACTCCAGAACTAAAACTATGATATTGCTTACTTTAATACATTATTATTATTTTTAATTAATTGAAAAATAATTGTTGTAAAAAATAAAGCCCAATTTATAACTACTGTACTGATGATGATTAATGTCTGTACAGCAGACACCCAACTCTTCAGAGGTAGCTAAGCAGCAACCATTTCTGAACTCTTACAAGCATTACAATCTATTAATACCATAACTGCAACATTTACTTTTAAATCTACAAATATTATCTGACACAAATGAAGATTTACAGATAACTTTCTTTTCATATTTGCATCTGTTAACATCACTGGCAGCAATGTAGCCAGGTTAGACTAAGTTACCATAACCACCAGGCTACTGGGTCAAGTTGTGAGGTGTTATGGTTGTTTTTCATCTCGTATTTTTGGGTAATATTATACGAATTTTCATTTATTTTTACTCTGTTACATGCACACACCATCCAACATACACATAGTGAAATAGTAAAAGAAGTAATTGTCCTAAGGAGAAACATGTAAAAGAAATATACATTTCTTTACACACTAGTTAGCTGGCTAGCTCAGTGAGGGAGTGGATGGAGGTAATGGGGGGAGTTGTTAGGAATAGGTGGAGGTGGCATCTGCATTGCTATGGTGAGCCAAGGACTTATGCAAATGGTGACTGTGCTAAACTTTCATTTGGCTTTTATTTACTGGTTTGTCAATCCAGTATTTTGTGTTATACCTTATTTATTGGTATTACTTTTATTTATTCCCCACATTTACTGGTACTGTATATATTATTTTACGAAAACTGACTACAGGAGGAAAATCCACACAAAATTTTTTTCCTAGATACTCCCTGCTAAAATGGGGGGCTGCGTCTTACGTGGGCTGCATCTTGTATGAGTGAAAATACGGTAACTGCATGTAATTTTAAGTAAATACAGAATTTTATGTTATTTCAATGTTTATATTTAAACATAATACAGTAGGATTTTATTTTATTTATATCATAGTTTTAAATTAGTAGTATAATTTTCATTTTCGGCATCAAATGGCTAAGGCTGTGACGCCAGATATTTTACCCAATCAATCAGTGAGGTGCTTTAGTAATTAATTTAAAATATTTCAGGATATTCTTTATTTTTAATCAAAACGAAGATAAGGGAAGGGGCACAAGACTAAAGTAGCACCTCCGAGACTCGATGGAAGGCGAGTAGGAGTGTTTGCTACCCGGTCTCCACAGACCTAATCCCCTGGGCTTGACATTAGCTCGATTGGAAAAAGTCCAAGGTACAGTATTATTCAAAGTCATAGTTGGTGCATTACAGTAAACCCTGGATAACTCGGCATTTATTTAAAAAAACTGGGGAAGAGTTATAAGATAATTTTGAAAAATCTCTGTATTTACGAATTCACTTATTCATAAAAAATTATTAGTGACTCTTCATTCAAGATTTACAATCAAAATTCACATATCTGTGAGATAGTTAGAAATTTTTTGACTGACCATTGGATAACTCTAACACACTCTGTGGTTAGTTAATTGCACTGCCCCTCCCCCACCCATCCAGTACATGGACGAGAAGGAGGATGCTGTGGTACCCAATATTTTGGGTATAAAGCGGATAAATCAAACCAGAATAGAAGTGTCTGCCTTAACCGAACTTAAAAAACCGGGAACCGGAACTTTAAGTGTTGCTTAAAAACGAGAAACCAGTTTCATGACACCCAGAAATGCTAATATAATGTTATTGGTATTTCTGGCTTTTAAACTAAGTTCTAAAACTAAAGCTGTGAAATGAAGATCAAGTAAGCCACTTTGTTTTATATGCTTTACTATACTGCTTTTTAATACTTACAGTGCTTTTTATACAGGCATACAACAATGCAAAAAGATTCACCTTGTATAGTATTTTTCCCCAACTGTATGTCATATCACCTAAAATATATTAAGTTTAGCATTTAAGTTGTTTTATATATTAGTAATAATCGCTTAACACGGTTTTCATGAAATATTTCTCACGATATCATTAGAGCCGTAACTTTTCACTTAACGAGGTTTTTTTCCACGATATCCGGCTCGAGAGCTATTTTTAGATTCGCCCCACCCGCCTGACTGCCTGCCTGCTTGTTTTAGCTCATAAAATTCATACAAATTACCCGGCCAGAATATAATTTACATTGCTGGAATTCTTACAACATGATGATCATTTTGAATATAAACATCATAGATTTTGCATTACCGTATATCTCGGCCTATAAGGCGTCGGGGTGCATAAGACGGCCCCCCCAAATTTCCATTTAAGAAGTAGCTTTTGAGCTCTATTTGCTGTATAAGACCAGTACCCCAAATGTGACACTTACCCACTGACTCAGTAGTCCTTTACCAACCATCCTTGGTTTTTTAAAATAAGGCCAATTCACTTCAAGTAATGTCATCAAATGTTACCCGCTGGTGTAGTGTAAACACTAGTGACGTCACTGAAGCGTCTGCTATTTACCGGTAACTGGAACTAATGTCTGTGTCGAGTAAAATTTTTCCATTTACTTGAAATATATATATATATATATATATATATATATATATATATATATATATATATATATATATATATATATATATATATATATATATATATATATATATATATATATATATATATATATATATATATATATATATATATATATATATATATATATATATATATATATATATATGTATATATATATATATATATGTAGTGATGGGTTGTCAGACCACAGCTTACATCTCAGAAACAGTCCAGACTTGACCCGACATTAGGGGGATCAAATGTAAGGGTACCCCTCGCAACCACTCAAGGAGTTACAAATCAACTGGCTCCCCTCCCATGTCACACGGCCCCAACAAACATGTAAGAAGGCACCGGCCGACTCTCTCCCAATATACACAATAACCTACACCGCAGAAGAAGTCCAGACCTAACCTCACATTAGCCAGGTCAAATGTAACCCTCGAGCCCAAGTCAAGGGGCCACAAATCAACCAGGGCCTCTCATGTCACACGGCCCCATCTGAAGATTTCTCCAGAATATACAACTTATAGTCTCTGAAAAAGTCCAGACCTGACCCTACATTAGCGAGGGCAAATGTAAGGAGACCCTTCGCCGCCCCCCCGATCAGCTCAACCTGACGGCTCGCCTCCCAATATATAGGACGTCCTAGTCCTCCCTCTGCCCAGAGAGAGACAGAGAGAGAGTGTGTCTTGTAACCAAGAAGGGCCAGCTACCACGTCCCCAGTCCTGCTCGAGAGAAGTCAGGGGCCGGAGGCAAGCCGCCTCCGGTCGCCTCCGGTCGGGAGCGAGTTGCCCTCGACACACCGGTGCCCAGCTAAGCAGTCTCCCATAGAGACAACCCAGGACCACCTGCTAGGCCTCCCCTAGGTCACGTGAGTTTTTGTCAGAGCTTTCCATGGGATGAGTTACTTACGTGGGAAGTGTATTCATTTCATGTTCGTGTCCGAGAATCAGTGTCTAGTAACGTAATATGATGTCCTAGTAACGTAAATATAATGTCCTAGTAACTTCAATAGAAGGTGTTATTAATGTGTCCATGTCATGTTCGTAATTAATAAAGAGTTGTAACGAAGCGGTGTTTGAGAAGTCGCCCTTAAGACGTAATAGATGTGTATTGACGTATAAGATACGATAAGTGTAAGTCCAGAGAGTAAATAACTATCACGGCCACGCTACCAAAATCTTCCTCTCTTTTATACTCTTATACTATCAATATTCTACCTATATGTAATCTTCTTCTTATCAGAGTGCCTCATTATATTGGTGGCAGCGTACTATAACGTTAACTCACGCCCTCCTCGTCCCTTGTTATTGGTAACAGTGTACTTAACGTAAACCCATGCCCTCCCTCATTTAGCCATAACACCTGGCTCGTTGTTTGAGTATTGTTCGAAAGTGCGTGATAAGGAGTTCCTGCATAGTAGCGTGAAAAGTGTCCTAGTGTGTCACCGTTACAGCTCAAGTAAATGTCTCTCGTCGTGGTATGCGCGAATTTTTTCTAGAAATATGTTCAGTGCTTAACGTGATTTCTCAGTGTCCCCCGCGATCTGTGACATTCTCAGTAGCCCAAGTGCAGTTTGATTGTTGGTCAGTGTTGAACGTAGAAATTGTGTTTCAGTGATGAAAGCGGTGTCTGTACTAACTGTTATAACTTAACATGTCTTTTAACCTACATCCTCCTCCCTGTCCTAATCCTCACCTCACCCTCCAAGCTAAATGTCCACTGGCTGACCGCACGTAAGGCATGGATGTTCTCTACACTGTCCCTCTCCTGGTTTGATGACTGTTTTGTTCCCGATGTAAAGAAATTCTGTGAGCAACAGAATGTCCCATTTAATATTTTGTTGCTGCTGGACAACGCACCAGGACACTCGCCCCTACTGTTAGATCGTCACCCCAACGTAAAAGTGGTCTTCCTTCCTCCCAACACTACGTCTATATTACAGCCCATGGACCAGGAGTTGATTTGCAATGTGAAAGCTGCATTCTCAACAAAAAATTCCAGCTCCTGAACGACTACACCAACACCAGGGAAGAGTTGCGTAACCTGAGTGACACCACCACCGATAGCAAGAGCGACGAAGATGAGGAACAACAGTTAGAACAGCAAAAAATACTCTTCAAACAATTCTGGAGAGTATTTAACATCAAGAAAGCTGTGGACATCTTGGTGGAGTCATGGGATCAGCTGTCTATTGCTACAATTCGTCACGCATGGAGACATGTGTTGCATGGAATACCAGGTGAGAGGAGGAGTCAATCTGTGACTGGTGAGGTTCAGAATGTTGCAGTAGCAGTGGACCTTGCCAGAGAAGCTGCGCAGACTGTTACAGTTCCAGGCTTCTCCGAGACCACCAACGACGACATCCTGGAGGTGATCAGAAATCCTGAAGTGACTGCCGACGAGATGTTGGAAGAAGAACACGTCAGTGAAGAGGAGGAAGAAGGTGCGGCAGTCTCCGAAGAACACAATTTAAGTCATAGTGATATTAAGGGTGCCATGGAGTGTGCAGAGAAGATGAAGTCCTTCCTTTCCCGCGACAATGACGATGACCGCTATGAAGTCTTCCATAACCGGCTGGTGCAGGCTATGGAGCCGTACATCAAGGTGTATCACGACAACATCAACGCCAGCCGTCAGCAAAGCATAACAGATTTCTTCACCCGCAACCCACCACAGCCAGCCCAAGCCAGTGATAGTGACAGTGAAGTTGACTTTGAGGGATTTGTCAGGGAAGCCCTGACAACTGTAAGTGACAGTGATGATGATTCACCTAGTAATGGTGATTCACCTGAGGGCCAGTAATCTGCCCTCTGCCTCGGAACCAGCCTCCATCCCCGTATGCCGACCCATCTCTTCTACTACCGTAAGTGTTCCACATAATTTTTAGTTTTCTAACCTTACCTTTATTTTTCCTATGTTAACCTTTATCTTTCCTAACCTAACCTCTTCTATATTACTTGTTTTTTCATACCATCATAAAGTTAAGATAAAATTTTTACTGCAACATAGTTATGTGTCGTCAAAAAGTGGAGTTTGGGGATCGGCCTGGACTCCATTTCAATTAATCCCATATGTTATGTTGTTCACTTTACGCGTTCCTCACTTTCCGCGGTACCCTCCGGGTTACATTAACTTCCTCACTTACCGCGGTACCTTCCGGGTTACATTAACCGCGTAAAGTGAGGGTTAACTGTATATATATTGTGTGTATATATATATATATATATATATATATATATATATATATATATATATATATATATATATATATATATATATATATATATATATATATATATATATATATATATATATATATATATATATATATGTATATATATATATATATATATATATACAAATAAAATATATGTAAAAAAATAAATGTTAAATGAATTATTTATGGTATTAGGGTACTGGCCACTTGACACAAAGACGTGGATAAAATAGCCTATCTCCCTCTTTTCTTACAGCTGCCAATGGGAAGCGCTCTTGGTAATTAAATTTGATGTTTATTTTCATTGTGGATCTACATGAGATATATATACAGTGGTAGCGGAAAGTTTGGGCGCAAGACGAATGTAAACAATTGTGACATTTAAATAGATATTTAAAGGGCTCATGACGTACCTTATTTGCCAAGCGATTTTCCTCTATAAGCTTGATAACCTTCTCCAAACGTTGTGGGATGCATCTTGCCAGTTTTTCTACGTGTTGGGGAATGATAT